CTCTGGTTTGAATTTTCTTTTTTCCTTTTAAATTTCTTTCGGTTTTCTTCTCCGGCGTGGTGTCCGTGGTGGCGAGGGCGTGGAACGGGGAAGCGGAGAGCCCGGAGCAGGTGCGGGCGGCGATGGCCCCGTGCAAATCCTGTGCGCTACTGTCACTCTGTTGCACAGCCTGTGCCGTTCTCTCGGAGAGTGCGTTAAAGCCTCTCCGTGGCTGGAGCCTTCCCTGTAGACGACAGATAGTTTGCAATACGATATATTGATTGTGGTGCTGGTGCAGAGAAGTGCATCGCTGCACGCAGTGGCATATGCACGCAGTGCATCCACGGCTGGCACAGCTTCGCGATTAGTACCAGACAAACATGCTACTTGGAGTATAAAGGCCGTTGGCGAGCGATATGTTGTGTATTCAGTGTATTTGACTGACTGATGAACTGATACACGCTGCAGATCACAGTACATGTGCAGGTGAAGGACGTATATCTTGCCCAGGCTCTAAATTGGAGCTGGCTCCGCCACTGCCGACGGCAGCAACACGTGTAGTGGAGGCGGGGGTGCCATGGATGTCACAGACGTTGTCGCTTCCTTGTGGAGTAGCGTGCCTGTTGCAGCCGAGGGTGCCATGGCGGGCGGCAGAGCAGCTGTCACGCCTAATATGCGACCCTATCCAAAAAGAACTCGAAGGTCCCACCAAGGATAGACCCGCATATTGAAACGCTTTTGCAAGGTGGATATCATTACATCGACATTACATAATAGATGGGGATACATACAAGAGGCATACAATGCCACACGAATACAACATCATCATGCATAAGAGCATCATCCGACTATGGATGAAACACAAACAGAAACTCAAACGACATCCACCCTGCTAGCCCAGGCTGCCGACCTGGAACCTATCCCTGATCGAAGAAGCAGAAGAAGAACTCAAGGCAAGCAAGCATCGCTCTCACGTCATGATTATCGATAACCTGTACCTGCAACTGTTGTTGTAGTAATCTGTGAGCCACGAGGACTCAGCAATCCCATTACCATGGGTATCAAGACTAGCAAAGCTTAAGGGGAAAGGAAGGGGTAAAGTGTTGAGGCTGCAGCAGCGACTAAGCATGATATGGTGGCTAACATACGCAAATAAGAGCGAGAAGAGAGCAAGCAGAACGGTCGTGAAACTAGTAATGATCAAGAAGTGATTCTGAACTCCTACTTACGTCAAACATAACCCAAAAACCGTGTTCACTTCCCGGACTCCGCCGAAAAGAGACCATCACGGCTACACACACGGTTGATGCATTTAATTCGGATCTGGTGTCAAGTTATCTACAACCGGACATTAACAAATTCCCATCTGCCTATAACCGCAGGCACGACTTTCGAAAGATTATACCCTGCAGGGGTGTCCTAACTTAGCCCATGACAAGCTCTCGCGATCAACGAAGGAATAGACCTTCTCCCAGGAAGACCCGATCAGACTCGGAATCCCGGTTTACAAGACATTTTGACAATGGTAAAACAAGACCAGCAAAGCCTCCCGCTGTGCCGACAAATCCCGATAGGAGCTGCACATATCTCGTTCTCGGGGCACACCGGATGAGTCAGACGTCGGGTTGGCATAGAACCTGGTTGCCTAGGGGGCGCCGGACATCGCTCGGTTCGGACCAACACTTAGACAAGCACTGGCCCGGGGGGGCTAAAATAAAGATGACCCTTGGGTTGGCCGACCCAAGGGAAAGGGTAGGTGGTGGTGAGGCAAATGGTAAAACCAAGGTGGGCCTTGCTGGAGGAGTTTTATTCAAAGTGAACTGTCAAGGGGGTCCCATAAATCACCCGACCGCGTAAGGAACGCAAAATCCGGAAACATAACACCGGTATGACGGAAACTAGGGCAGCAAGAGTGGAACAAAACACCAGGCAAAAGGCCGAGTCTTCCACCCTTTACCAAGTATATAGATGCATTAATAATATAAGAGATATTGTGATATCCCAACCAAAATCCTGTCCACCATGGAGCAATCTTCAACTTCACCTGCAACTAGCAACGCTATAAGAGGGCTGAGCAAAGCGTAACATAGCCAAGCAACGGTTTGCATAGGAAAGGTGTTAAAGGTTAGAGGTTCATGGCAATATAGGATGGCTTGATAAACAGGTGATAGGTAGCGCAACATAGCGATAGAACGAAGCAACTAGCATAGCAATGATAGTAGTGAGATCCAGGGTAGCGGTCATCTTGCCTGAAATCCCGCAAGGAAGAAGAACGAGTCCATGAAGAAGACGAACGGATGAAGCCGAACCAACCGTAGACGAACGAATCCTCACGATCGCAACAAAACAGGAACTATCGAAAAGAAGCACACGACATAGTAAACACACCACTCATAGACAAGACATGATGCACAACAAGCATGATGCATGACAAAGCTATATGGAGCTACTCATGGCAAGAGATGATGCAAACAAGAGCAACACATCAAGGCAAGTTTAAATGAGGCCGGGAACAACATATAACAATTCCGGTAAGTCCTCATATGCAAATTTCGAAATTGGTCCAGATCTGAACAAACCTTATGTTCAAGTTGTTAAACATCAAGTTAAGATGCACCAAGATGATCTACATGAGATTCTAGTCAAGTTACATATAAAGTTCATTTAATTCGGAGCTACGGCCTAGAAGATATGAGCAAAACAAGTTAAACATGGCATTGATGTAAAATGCACCCAAACATCAAGAAAACACCTCAAAACATGGATGCAACATGATAATATGAAACTACATGCAATTCTAAGCAAGTTTCATATAGAGCACACTCAAAACGGAGCAACGGTTCAAACACACCCACATGAAACAAGTTATAAGGACAAGCTGTCCAAAACAGCAACTAGGCATATTGCAAGCATCAAAACAATAAGCTACAGCACCTCAACATAATAACAAAAGGCATGGGCATGATGTACCGGTAAAGCACAACAAAACATGAACACTGAGCTATCTCCAGAAATCACTAGAACATGCTCAAACACACATGGTAAGATTGCAAGTTATAACAATTCCAGACTTTGTAGAAAATAACATCACGATGCAATATTAAGAGCTATCAAACAACATGTTACAGGAACTTATCATGGCAAACAAAGGCATGGCATGATTCTACTCAAAGCATAGATCAAAAGTCCCTTACTTACCATAAGCCAAAAAGGATCAGAAAATATGATGGCACTCACGTAAACATAGCAAGTTATATTACAGATTCAAACATGGCAAGAACAGAATTATGAAGGCATGTAAATGAGCTTGTGCAACTCACTACAGAGCAATATATGGCATGGCAAGGCAACCAATAGTAAGAAGACATGTTTGTGAAGCTAAGCATGGCAAGAGCAAGTTCATAGGGTGCATGGATCACTAGCAAAACACATGGGAACAAGTGAACTTAATGTTAACAGGCTGACAGCAACATTATGAAGCAACTTTAGAGCAAGATATGAACAAGCTACAGGGAGCTATAATTGCAACCAGGGGCATGGATGGATAGAGCATGACATGTAGATCAAAACATGTTTAGTGATCATCTCCAGATTATGCATAGAATGATTAGTAGCAACATGTTTATATAGCATCACGAAATAACAGATTCAGCCTAGCGAAACAGCAACATCAAGTACCCTACTTAACAAGCTCGATTCACTCACCACAAGTCATTGCATGACAAGATAAGCATAGCATCATCAAGAAGACATGTTTGTGAAACAAACCAAGTCAAGAACAAGTCCATAGCATGCAAGGATAAACTATAGCATCCTTGGCCAAATTGAATAACATGTAAACAATCTGCCAGGAAACATTTTGAAGCAAAAGTAGAGCACGCAAATAACATGCTAAACTACTCCATAATTGCAACAAAGGGCATGAATGGATAGAAAATAACCACATGTTCAAAACACCCTTACTGAAGTATCTCAAAATATGCATGGAACTCTCTGTAACATCAAGTTTACATGGCATCAAAATAACAGCAGAACAGGGACTAAAATCAGTAACATCACGATGCCTAGTTTGCATGCTTGTGCTAGTCATCACATTGATCACAAAAATGCATGGCATACACCACTCTAAAGAAGACATAGCATAGATCAAAACACATGAAGACATCAACCTCATAGGATGCACACATCAATCATGGCAAAAATGACAAAAGAGCTCGTTCTGATAACAGACAGCAGAAAACATTATGAAGCACTCTATCAACGATGATTCAGGCATTA